CCCCCCCCCCCCCTCCCTCCCCTGTAACCTGCCAACTCATCCACTCTCAAACAGGGTTTTAAACCAGAGTAGCAAGCAAACCATTTCTGATGAATGAATTTTCAGGTTGCTTTACTTTCGAAGAACGGCGAGCAAGTTACGATCAAAGGTGGTGAAAAAGAAACCATTCATGTTTTGTTAATTGGTGGTATTCCTCTAAACGAGCCCATCGCGCACCGTGGTCCATTCGTGATGAACACGTGGGAAGAAATTGATCAAGCCATCCGAGATTATCACAGTGGAAAACTGGGGAAAATTGCAGGAGAGGAGGAGAGATACGAGAAAACCAGAAGTGCTGTACAACAGCAAAAGAACACGGGAACATGGCGAGATTCACTATAAATATTATTCAGTTGTAGTTATTGTAAATTTTGTAGAGACTAGAGTCTAGGCTGTAAATTTTTCTTGAGGCTGAGTTGTATAAATACCCGCCCAGACCAGTGGTTACGTAAAATTATGGAAACAACGCAGCAAATAGACATAATTAAACTTTCTTTTCTGTCGAAGTCATTAGTTCCACTCAAGTGCCTCACGAAACAAAGAAATACGCTACGCTTCGATATACAGTTGAAGTGGAAAATGGCCTTGACTTTATTAACCAACCGCGTACCAAGGCTCGAGATAGGAGCGTAGAGAAAGAGCCGGAGTACGAGGTTGAATTTTAACGCAGTTGGGACCTTGGAACACGTATGTATGGAACGTGCAACGCAATTTCACAAATTAAAAAATGACAAATGCATTTAAACCCCATATTGCAATGCAAAATTGCCAATCATATTGCAATGCAAAAAAAAAACCCACAAAACTACAGTAGACTAGTTTCAAACAACTATAAATGAGTTATGGTCTTTGAACAATATTTTTACTATGGTATAAAACTTACGTTTATTAATTCTTGTTTATATTTCCTACTTTACAGTATTACTCTATTTACTTCACTTTTCAAAACTATATCCATTTGTCAATAAATAGTATCAATTAAAAATGTTAGTGTATTTTCCACTAGGCGAATTTTTTCGCGCGACGCGAAGTGAAAAACAAATCTTGGCAATGTGATTGGTCAGCGAAAAAATTCGCCGCGAAAAAGTTGGAGCAGTTCCTATTTTTTTACTGTTCGTTCGAACAAATTCGCCTAGTGGAAATTGGGCTTAATATTCTTATTTTACACCAAATTTAGTTTATTCCAAATTATTTTACCGCACGGTAATGTAATTAATCTGTATTACTTCGCAACAATAATCCCGTCCAATAAGCTATTATTAAAATTTTTACTCCTGGCTCGTACCCAGGCGTGGGCAAATAACGATCAATTTTAACAAACCCTGTTGGCAGACGGTAACATCTTCATGTTTTGTTGACGCAATCACAACAATATCCCTAGTAACCCTCAATAATACCACAGATTAAAGTGCACCTAACCTCAATTCTTTTGATCATTTTATTCTTAAGAACATCTGAAATGATATAACTTATTTTGAAGATTTTCGTTTGCACACTTTGTCTCGAAGTTATTTCAGTTTGGTTGATATGCAAATGTCCGGAATTTACGTCACATATGAATAATGAAAGAATGTAAGGTACAGTTAAATATCATGAAAT